AAAATCCCTGGTACGTAAAAATAAGTCAAGCTACGTTCCCAAACGTCTTAACGTATAAATTTAAACATCCCAATAAAAGGAAGGTATATTGTTGTTTACCAAATAATATTCTGCAGCAAACAAAAATCAGCTTTCTTAGAATAACAGAAAAATGTAAAAAAAATGAAAAATTGGAGCTACTCAGAAAACTTAACATTAACATATAACGATGGTCTGTTCATGCAAAGATCCGAGTGAACATAGCAGAACCAGAAGAATTACGTTTAAAAATAACGTTTTTGTGAAATTTTCGGACACATATGCTGATGTATTACGCGCAGTGTAAAGAAGGGTTTTTGTCGAACAGTCCATAAGCCCTAGTTTGTAATAGAAGATGATTTCCCAAAACCTTTCAGTTTTTTCTTTGTTTCTACATCCTTTAAGATAGGGTGGACTAAGCCCACCAGATTCTCACTTGATTGGGTAATCACTGTAGTAAGTGTTTACATAAGCTGGGTGTGGACATGCGCGTCCGTGACTAATAACTTTAAATTAATCTGTTATGTGCAATCGTAAACATACCATCTTGTGTATATTGAGATAAATTTCACTCCGTCACATTACGTCGTAATTATTTTGAGAGCTCCAATGTGACGAGCTTGAGATTTCTCTGGAAATTCTGCTTAACACTTTTGAAATTTCAGCGTTCTTATACGCTTGTTCCTGTATACTGATATTGCTCTACCTGTTTACCAAGAACTTCAAAATAAGATATTTCTTAAAATAATTTACCTAAATAATGAGTTTTGAAACATTCCTTCTTATGCAAATGTCTGTTTGTGCCACAGTTATAGAATCAACCAAACGTGTCAGACAAAAGTCGCGAATGAATAGACATAAGATTAATTAAGAAATTTTCTATAACACGTTTCCTATTGAATAAACGCTTTAATTATATACTTCGGCGTCGAATACCTGTGCACATTCTCTTTTTTTGAAGATAACGTCTGGCTAAAAATGGGAAATGTTGAGGAGTTTTTGATTTCCCTTAAAATAAGGGCGGATCTTCTGCTGAAAATGAGAGGACATACTTTTCTATGTATACCGGAGCAGATTTTAGGAAATTTCGTTGCTTCCACACTCCGTTCTTTGATTTCAAAAGCACACCAGATTGACATAAAGCACGTTTGATTTATAGTAAACTGATATACTTCTGTTTGTTCCGTTTCGATTTTTATATTCATTAATTTTGTTTTTTATAT